GTATTTTACAGTCTTTATTTTACAGTTAAAATAGATGTTTATTAAATAAAGTCTAATGTTACAACTAATCGGGGATCCCTTTAAATTTTGCATTTTCAGCTTTTGTCGAGCCTGACTGAACAGCTAAATAAAACGCATGAAGCTTCCCCTGACGTGTAGAAACTATTTTATCTTATTAGCTCACATTGCCTTGCATGTACACAATAAATATTAAAATCCTCAATGGCAGCCTCGCAAAAGAATGGTCTGGGTTATAAATGTTACCCTAATGCTCAGTAAAGCAGATGCACACGCTAATGCCAAAAAAAACCATAGAAATTGCTTTAAATATTTACATAAATGTATGTCATTTTAACAATCAGCCTGGAAATACCAGCTGAGAGCATATATTTGAGTAAAGAAAATGTAAATGACCAACCAGAGCCAAATATTCCAAAGGAAATATTTAACACGTATTTTGTGTCATTTTATTTTCACAGCAAATTCCTTTCCACATTTAATGAACCACCTGTCAGGTGCATGTACCAGACAAACAGAATTGTTCATACCTGAGTTAATTTAGCTCCAAATCTTTATACCTTGGAAAAGCATTTTTAAAACAAAACAATGCACGAGCTTCTCTAGAAACTGAAGAGAAGACAATAACGTGTTTGCTAATTAAAGCCTCCTCATTATGTCTCCATCAACCTACATTGTACTTTTCACTTTATCTTTTCTGCCTTTCAAGTAGCTGAAAGGCAGAAAAAGCTGAAAGTATTGTGAATAAATTAATGCTGAGACTGAGACTGTATGTAATGCTTAGATCCTGATTCTATAACCTGATGTTTTGATCACCAATAGAAGCTTAAATTAACTTACTGCATGTTTGATGACATTTACAAGCCAGTAATTCAGTGGTCAGTGCAGTGGTCTTGTAATCCTGTGGCTGCGGGTCCAAGCCCAGGTTGTGTCAAAACAAACATTTAAAATTCATAAACTTGATATTTTTGGTCTCTTATTATTGTTTTCATTATCCTTCTTTGTGYATATTGTGAAAATCTAACATATTAGGAAAACAAAAATATACCACAGGCAATTATACTGTATATACATGCATCGCATTAAAGCAAAGAGTCAGCGGTGGTTTTAGGTCTTTGTTTTGAAGCACACCATCATTCAGCCAATAAACAACAAATCTTCACGAACAACAGAGCTCAGAATCAAAGACTTCAGCTGCAAGGTCTGCAAGGTTCAAAAAACAAAATCGACTTTTCTGCAGTCTGGCTATTAAGATGCAGAGCAAAACCCTGGTATAACACAGATAAAACTACTAATTCTTGTTTATTGTTGGGAGCTGATGAGTAGTAAACTCTGCATATCATTAATAGCTGAGCAGCTAAGTCCCTGGAGCATCCCATGTAAACTGATAATACTCCTTTAACCTTTAAAAAAAATTAAAACAAATGTTGCCAAATTCTCATTTTTATGCTCATCTTTAACCTTTCTGTTATCAGTCTTTAATCTTTTTTTGTTTGCTTTGTTTGATGTTCTTACCTCCCATTCAAACACTGGCTCAGATCAAATTCCTTTGTTAACTTTTCTCTCCCAACAGTAGCCAAGATGCTTTTCCATCTGAGCAACTTCTTCCTTTGAAGCTAAGCATCTCGATATCTCATTACTAAAACAAGCCTACCTGTGTGAAGGTCTGTACTCTTCAGTTCTTATTTAGGGTAAAATCTCACCGAGGTGCAGCTGTTGGCAGACGGTTGAAAGGCATTTGTGAGAGTCCCCAAGGTGTTTCAAAATGTTTGCAGGGAGTTCAATTTCCTAGAGTTAGAGTTTTGCAGCATTGTCTCAAACTGGTTGCAAAGTTGTCACAGGCATCTTGAACCCAGCTTAATTTAGCTGCTGTAAAGTCTAGAGCTGCATTTTGACCATTGAACAGGTACAGAAAACATCCAAATCGACCATCAAWGTCGCAAAGACTCAGAATTCAGTGAAACTGCAACTAAAAATTCAACCATTTTCTGCAATTTTGACACGTCTTCTAGTCCCTGAAGGTTGCAGCTCAGTGAGCTAGAAGAAGAAACTTCCCATTAAACTTAATTCAGTTTCACAGAATAGCAGCTCTTATGATAGGGAGGCACAAACCTAGCACAAAAAGTAAGGAAATTTGTGTTTGGTGGATTATTTCTTTGTTGTTACAATGCTTCTTGGCAATAAATCTTATATCTTTGGAAAGCCTGGTAATTTTCCTTTTTAAATGGAGCCACATTTGTAAGGAGCATGCATGTGTAGGATGAGCAGTAGAGCTGAGTATGTGGGTAACGCACATGAAAAATTTGCCAAATCTCTGCCAAACAGCTTTTTTTGCTTTTGTCACTTATTTTGAGCATCTGGTGCCCTCAGGGGCTGCCAATCAGGTGCCTGGCAGAAGGTTTATTACCAAGAAGCATTGTAACAACAAAGAAATAATCAGCCAAACACAAATTTCGTTACTTTTTGATGACTATCACACCAAACCAAAAATAATTATTCTCCTGACAATAACTATTAAAAAACAAACAAATATAAATATCCTGAAATGCTAATTTCTAGTTTTAGTACGACTTCAAACACCTTATCCACTTCACTGTAGATACACTGCATGTCACAAATTGATTAGGGAAAGAGATATGAGGTGCTTTGGCAGTCCTCCTCCTCCTCCTCTTCAGGGAGAGTTCTAATAAAGTAGGAGGCTGGTTAGATGTGGGAGTCTAACTCTCCACTTGGGTTCCGAAAATCAATAAAATACAGAGTGCTACTCTTGCCTTCCACTCCCTATTGCTTATACTTATTCCCTTTATCCTCTTTGTCTTCATTATTATATAACCCTTGTCATTTTTTATTTGTTTTCACCTTCTCTTTCACCTTTCTGTCTCACCACATCATGTCCTCTTCACCTCTTAATCTTCTGTTTTCTCTAATTAGCAGTTTCCGCTCTCTTTCAGACACTTAGCAGCAGTCGGGGTGTTTTAACACAAGACGGGCGTTTGGGCTGTAATTACTTTTTCACTCGCAGCTGAATTGTTCTGCAGACTTTTGACATTGCAGAAGTAGAAAAAATTTTTAAATATATTTACTGTCAGAAAACTTAAATCAGATTACACAATAAAAGTTAAATTTAAAGGAAAGTGCAACCTATAACTACACTGTTTTGGAATTAAAGAAAAAAAAAACTCCATTTCATATACCTCATTGCTCTGAAGGGAATGCTCCTAACCTGTGAGACAACATTGCCCCCTGCAGGTCAACAGGGGAAGTGCATCTCTATGAAGCTGATCAGGCCTCGTTTTAGCCCCCAGAAATCTCTCTCACAGGGGGAAAACATCCAAGTAGATTTAAATAAATTAATACCCCTTTTGCGAGCCTCGGGAAATGCACAGTCCAAAACAAAATCTTCCGACAGAAGTCGGTTCATAAAGATAAACATATATAATTTGCTTAGCTTTCGTCTATAGGCGCACATTTAAACCAGCAGAAATTTAAATATGCCGTGCCTAATTCCACATTTGGGCTGAGCCACCATTCTCTAAGGGGCTGAATACAAAGCAGCGTGCAGTAAAGACACTTGACTATTCAGCTGGAACAACACTATCCAGGCTTAAAGGATAATCAGCCCCACCAGTTTCAGACTAAAACTAAACATTTCTGTATCCATGGCACCAAACAATAGTTCTGTGTAGCTTTCAGAGTCTTTAGAATATATTATAAGTCTTTGTTAAAGCTCCAACAACATTTCGCCAAGTATGTGTTCATATTCGAGGCTGTTAGAAGAATGAAAGCCTGACGTCTATAGAAAACATTTTAATTAAAGTGACGACAAAACAAACTGCCTTTTTGGGGTTTTTAATCCTTTTGCTGAAGCTAGAAAAATATTTCTTCTAAATGAAGGAGGTTCATAAGATCCTGGCAATTACAAGCACATGGTATTAGCTGACAAACTAATTAAAAAATAAAAAATAAAAATAAACAGAAACAGGCAGCGCCTTGGCATTAAATATAAGAAAAGACTATATTTGCATGATTTTACTTAATGTTTCCTTTTATGGGAGCTTCATTAGGGCACTGCACCAGTGCTTGTTTTGATACATGCTCCCAACAAATGAGGACTGAGAATAAAGAAAAATTATTCATAGCTAATGACCTCCATAAGGCAGGCATCTAGATTAAATATCATACACATACACTGTCCAAATTTAGCTTCAACATAAGTCTCTTAAGAGAACAAAGAGACCCCGGAGGTTTAAGATAACAAGCTCCCTGATCTCTGCTTTTTACAGTTACTCAGAAGCCAGATGTCGATCTTCCTCTGGGTCAAGACAGACAGTTTTGGGATTAGCATCAATTAGCAGAAAAGAACTGACAGATTGCAGGTTTTTTTTTTCTGTTTGCCAGAAACTCGACACAAATCAGAAACTGTCAGTCAAGGGGTGTTTTCAATAAACAAACAGCATTGCAGCAAAGTGTGTGTCTGCAGTTTGCGTGTTTATACCTCAGAATCTTCGCTGCTGATCCCCAGTTGGAGGACGGCACTGGGAGACTTCAGTCGGGCCTGGCTGGACTGGGCCATCTGCAGGTTCAGCTGCCAGCCCACATGTTCCAGCTGCAACACACCAGCACAGCCAGTTTGTAATTTACCAGCACAGGCTCACACTTTGCTTTATTAAATGCTTCAGACATCTTATGCCAAAAATACTGGGTCATGCAGACATCCAATGATTATTGACTCCTTTTGCTCAAACTTTCACTGTTTCCTATTTATTTTTGCTTTCCAAATTTCTTATACGTTAAGATTTTTTATTATTCTAAACAAGCATTTGCATGTCATTGATGTAACAAATGCAGAATGTATCTCAATTATTTCTTTTAAATGAAATGTAAAAAAACAAGAAAATGTGAACTTTTTTTATTCTTATGATCAATTCATAAAATGTATTTTAATAAAGTAATGACTTACCTGTTTAAGTAGTGAAGATTAATTTATTATTGTTGC